AGCCTTTTTTCCCGTTACACGGTTTTTTTTCCCTGTTTATGGCACTTAGGTAAGGTTCCTATGAAGGTATATAGAAGCTATCAGCAGTCAGCCCGCACAGTCCCCAGTCTCGCAGTCACACTCCACCCAATCACACTGCATTCCCAGACCCCTCTTCCGATTCCACGATGACGGGGTTTTTTGGTATTGTTTACGTCACGGTCACGGCTCGCCCGCTGATTGCACAGGAAAGACCGCACTGTCCACCGTAGGGGCGGACAGGCTTATTCCCTGACCGCTCGGATGGCCGGCTCCATACTTCAGGCTGTGGGGAAATGGCGGTATTCGGATTCGGCCTGGCTTTAACCCATTACCGGCGATCTCCACTCACTGGCGAAAACAAAAACGGCCGAAACCGGACGCTAAAAGGCCAGCGGATAGACTTCGTACCAGAGCGGGCACCCGCTGTTATTGAGGAGAAGGAAGGGAGAGCGGGGAGTGCCGCGGAGCCCGGGAGTACTGGGAGAGGCCTGTGCTGATGGAGAACGGGTAGAGTAAGCACAAATGTTCGCTCGGGCCTCCTCCGGGCCTGAACGTGGAACAAGCGACACGCCAGCCGTGCTGGACGAGTAGCAGCAGCTGATCATTGGAGAAGCTGGAGGAGCAGGCCATTCACTATGGAGGTGAGGAGCGGGCTGAGCTTGCTCATGTACCTGGAGTTTAGGCTCGGGAACACCTGTTTGGGGGCAACTGGGGATAACTGTTCTACTGTTCCACACCTGTATTGGAGTAAAAGCGTGGCGGAACACTGTTCACCCTGTTACGGTGGGGGAGACTGCCAGGGACACACTGTTCACCTGTTCGGGGGGGGAACTGCCAGGGATACTGTTCACCTGCGTACGGGGTGTGGAACATGCCAGGGAACGCCGTTCACCAGTACCGGGGGGATCTACAGCCAGGGACGCCATTCACCCTGTTTAATGGGGGCGGGGGGGACTGCCTAGTCGACGCCGTTCACGACTGTTACCGGGTGGGAACTGCTCTGGGACACCTTTCACATCTGTACACGGGGGGGGGGGGGACTGCCAGGCGACAACGTTCACCTGTACGGGGGGGGGAAACTCGCCAGGGGGACACCGATTCACCTGTCACAGGGGGGGGGGACTGCCACGGACGTCCGATTCACCCTGTAAGGGGGGGGGACTGCCAGGGACGCCGTTCACCCTGTAACGGGGGGTGGGAACTGACAGCGGACGCCGTTCACACTGTACGTGCGGCGGGATTGCCAGGAACGAGAACGCCGTTTCAACCTGTTCGAGGGGTGGCGGGGGGGCTGCCAGCGGCCCGCCGGTCACCCTGTACCGGGGGGGGGGGGCTGCCAGGGCCGCCGTTCACCTGTACGGGGAGGGGACGCCGCCGTTCACTCTGTACGGGGGGGAGGACGACGCAGGTTCACCTGTACGGGGGGGAGGAAGCCGCCGTTCACCTGTACGGGGGGAGGACGCCGGCCCGGTTCACCCCATACCTGCTACAGGGTGGGGGAGGACGCCGCCGTTCACCTGTACGGGGGGTGGCGCCGCCGTTCACCTGTCACGGGGTGGGGAGGACGCCGCCGCTTCACCTGTAAGGGGGAGGACGCCGCCGTTCACCTGTAAACGGGGGAGAACGCCGTCCCCCGTTCACACCTGTACGGGGGGAGGACGACCGCCGTTCACTGTACGGGGGGTGAGGACGCCGCCGTTCACCTGTACGGGGGAGGACAGCCGCCGTTCTCCTGTACGGGGGGAGGGACGCCGTCCGTTCACCTGTACGGGCGGGGGACGCCGACGTTCACCTGTTCGGGGGGGGGACGCCGCCGTTCACCTGTACGGGGGTGGGGACGGCCGCCGATTCACCTGTACGGGGGGGGGGACGCCACCAGGGACGACGTTCACCTGTATGGGGGGGGAGACGCCAGGGAGGCCTGTTACCGTGTAATGGTGGGGGGGTGGTGCACGCCACAAGGGACGCCGGTCACCTGTTCGGGAGGGGGGGCCGCCCGTTCACATGTACGGGGGGGAGACGCCTGCCAGTTCACTGCTGTACGGGGTGGGGGGCGCCGGCCGTTACACCTGTACGGGGGGGGGCGGGCGCCCTCACCCACTGCAACGGGGGGGGGTCCGCCGGTCACCTGTACGCTGGGTGGGGGGGGGGGGGGGGGACCAGGGGGGACGCCGCCGTTCACCTGTACAGGGGCGCTCGTGTAAACGTTCACCAGGTACGCCGTTCACACTGTGGTGGGGGAGGGGTGCGTTCACCTGTGTGGGACACCGCCGGTTCACCTGTACGGGGGTTGGGGAACTCCGGCCGTTCACCCTGTACGGGGGTTGGTGACAACGCCGCCGTTCACCTGTACGGGGGGGGGGACGCCGCCGTTCACATCCAGGGGGACGCCCGTTTCACCTGTACGGGGGGGGGAGTCACCATGGGGACGCCGTTCACCTGTACGGTGGGGGGGGATTCTGCCAGAGGACGGCGGTCACCTGTAGGGGGGGTTGCCGTTCACCTGTACGGGGGGGCCGGCCGGTTACCTGTATGGGGGGGGGGGGGGAGCTCCGTTCACCTGTATCGGTGGGGGGGCCAGGGGACGGCCGCCGTGCTCCTGTAAGGGGGGGTGCCGTTCACCTGTCGTGGGGCACCGACCGTTCAAAACTTACGGGGGGGGAGGACGCCGCCGTTCACTTGCAATCTGTGGGGGGAACGGACGACGCCGTTCACTGGGGGTCGGGGGACGCCGCCGTTCACCTGTACGGGGGGGGGGACGCCGCCTGTCACCTGTAAAGGGGGGGGGGGACGCCGTTCACCTGATTACGTCATGGGGGGGGGACGCCGTTCACCGTGTACGGGGGGGGGGGCACAGACGCCGTTCACAACCTGTCACGGGCGAGGGGGGGGTCGCCGACGACCGCCAATTCACCTGTACGGGGGGTGGGGACGCCCGCCGTTCACCTGCTACCGTGGGGGCGGAGGGACGCCGCCGTTTTCACCTTTACGGTGGGGGGGGGGGGTCGCCGTTCAACCTGTACGGGGGGGGGGAGCCGACGTTCACTGTACGGGGGGGGGACTCGGCGTTCACCTTGTAATGGGGTGAGGGCTGCCGCCGACGCCGTTCACCTGTACGGGGGGGGGGGAGAGACGCCGCCGTTCACCTGTAACGGGGGGGTATGGGGGGGGGGACGCTGCCTGTTCATCACCTGTACCGGGGGGGGGCCTGGGCTGCCGTTCACCATGTATGGGGGGCGGCGTTCACATTACGGGGGGTACGCCGTATTATGCCGTTCCACCTGTACGGGGGGGGGGCGCCTGACTCCGACTTTGCCGTTCACCTGTACGGGGGGGGGCGCCGACGATAGACCGTTCACCTGTACGGGGGGAGGGACTAGTCTGGGGGGCGCCGACGCCGTTCACCTGTACGGGGGGGGGGGGGGCCACGTGGACGCGTTCACGCCGTTCACCTACGGGGGGTACACGTACGGTGTACAACTAACGGGGGGGGAAGGGGACGCCGTTCACTTGTACGGGGGGGGGGGGGGGGGTGGCGGCCGCCGTTCACCTGTAACTGGGGGGGGGGGGGGGGGGCTGACGCCGCCGTTCATGCACCTGTACGGGGGGGGGGGGGGGGGGGGCCGCCGTTCACCTGTACGGGGGGGGGGGCCGGGCGCGCGTTCGTTCACTTGTACGGGGGGGGTGATGCGACGACGCCGTTCACCTGTACGTATGGGGGGGGGGCGGGGGGACGCCGCCGACGCCGTTCACCTGTACGGGGGGGGCGCCGAGCCACGATGCTGTTTCACCTGTATGGGGGACGCCGTTCACCTGTACGGGGGGGGGGGGGGACGCTGTTCACCTGTACCGGGGTAGCTGCCAGGGCTGCCGTTCACTCTGTACCGCCGGTAGGGGGGGAGGAATGGGGGCGCCGTTCACCTATACGGGGGTACGCCGTATGCCCGTTCACCTGTACGGGGGGGGGGGGGGAGTGGGCTGCCGAGGGACGCCGGTCACCTGTACGGGGGGGGGGCACCGTCACCTGTACGGGGGGGGGATGCTGCCAGGGACGCCGTTTCACCTGTACGCCGCGCTGTTTCACCTGTACGGGGGGATGGGAATGCCGGGGACGCCGTTCACCTGTAAGGAGGGGGGGGGACGGCCGTTCACCTGTACGGGGGACGGGACGCCGCCCGTTCACACTGTAAAGGGGGGGGGGGGGGATGCCGGGGACGCCGCTCACCTGTACGGAGGGGGGGGATGCCGGGGACGCCGCTCACCTGTAAGGAGGGGGGGGGGATGCCGGGGACGCCGCTCACCTGTAAGGAGGGGGGGGGGGATGCGGGGACGCCGCTCACCTGTAAGGAGGGGGGGGTGGATGCCGGGGACGCCGCTCACCTGTAAGGAGGGGGGGGGATGCCGGGGACGCCGCTCACCTGTAAGGAGGGGGGGGGGATGCCGGGGACGCCGCTCACCTGTAAGGAGGGGGGGGGATGCCGGGGACGCCGCTCACCTGTAAGGAGGGGGGGGGATGCCCGGGGACGCCGCTCACCTGTAAGGAGGGGGGGGGATGCCGGGGACGCCGCTCACCTGTAAGGAGGGGGGGGATGCCGGGGACGCCGCTCACCTGTAAGGAGGGGGGGATGCCGGGGACGCCGTTCACCTGTAAGGAGGGGGGGGGATGCCGGGGACGCCGCTCACCTGTACGGGGGGGGGGATGCCGGGGACGCCGTTCACCTGTACGGGGGGGGGGGGGAAGGGGACGCCGTTCACCTGTACGGAAGGGGGGGATGCCGGGGACGCCGTTCACCTGTACTGAATGCGGGGGGGGGGATGCGGGGACGCCGTTCACCTGTACGGAGGGGGGGGGAATGCAGGGGACGACGTTCACCTGTACGGAGAAGGGGGGAATGCATGCCGGGGACGCCGTTCACCTGTACGGAGAAGGGGGAATGCATGCCGGGGACGCCGGTCACCTGTACGGAGAAGGGGGAATGCCGGGGACGCCGTTCACCTGTACGGAGAAGGGGGAATGCCGGGGACGCCGTTCACCTGTACGGAGAAGGGGGAAATGCCGGGGGACGCCGTTCACCTGTACGGGGGGGGGGGACGCCGGTCACCTGTACGGGCGAGGGGGGGGCTGCCAGGGATGCCGTTCACCTGTACGGGGGGGGGGATGGGAATGCCGGGGGGACGCCGTTCACCTGTAAGGAGGGGGGGGAATGCCGGGGACGCCGTTCACCTGTAAGGAGGGGGGGAATGCCGGGGACGCCGTTCACCTGTAAGGAGGGGGGCAATGCCGGGGACGCCGTTCACCTGTACGTAGGGGAATGCCGGGGACGCCGTTCACCTGTAAGGAGGGGAATGCCGGGGACGCCGTTCACCTGTACGGAGGGGGGGGGAATGCCATGGGACGCCGTTCACCTGTACGGAGGGGGGGGGGGAATGCCGGGGACGCCGTTCACCTGTACGGAGGGGGGGGGGAATGCCGGGGACGCCGTTCACCTGTACGGAGAAGGGGGAATGCCGGGGACGCCGTTCACCTGTACGGAGGGGGGGAATGCCGGGGACGCCGTTCACCTGTACGGAGGGGGGGGGGAATGCCGGGGGACGCGCCGTTCACCTGTACGAAGAAGGGGGAATGCAGGGGATGCCGTTCACCTGTACGGAGAAGGGGGGGGAATGCATGCCGGGGACGCCGTTCACCTGTACGGAGAAGGGGGAATGCAGGGGACGCCGTTCACCTGTACGGAGGGGGGAATGCTGGGGGACGCCGTTCACCTGTCCGGGGGGGACGCTGTTCACCTGTACGGAAGGGGGGGGAATGCCGGGGACACCGTTCACCTGTCCGGGGGGGGACTCCGCCAGGGACGCCGTTCACCTTTATGTGGGGGAGGGGGGGACTGCCGGGGATGCCGTTCACCTGTACGGGGGGGATGCCGCCAGGGACGTCGTTCACCTTTACTGGGGGGGGGGGGGGGGGGGCGCCGTTCACCTGTACGGAGGGGGGGGGAATGCCGGGGACGCCGTTCACCTGTACGGAGGGGGGGGGGGGGAACTGCCGGGGCTGCCGTTGCCCTGTACGGTGGGGGGGGGGCTGCCAGGGCTGCCGTTGCCCTTTACGGGGGGGGAGTGCCAGGGACGCCGTTCACCTGTCTGGGGGGGGACTCCGCCAGGGACGCCTGTACGGGGGGGCTGCCAGGGCCGCTGTTGCCTTGTACAGGGGGGATGCCGCCAGGGACGTCGTTCACCTTTACTGGGGGGGGGGGGGGCGTTCACCTGTACGGGGGGGGATGCTGGGGACGCCGTTCACCTGTACGGAGGGGGGGGGGGGGGAAACTGCCGGGGCTGCTGTTGCCCTGTACGGGGGGGGCTGCCGGGGACGACGTTGCCCTTTATGGGGAGGGGGGGGGCTGCCGGGGACGCCGTTGCCCTGTACGGGGGGGGCTGCCGGGGACGCCGTTGCCCTGTACGGGGGGGGGCTGCCGGGGACGCCGTTGCCCTGTACGGGGGGGGGCTGCCGGGGACGCAGTTCACCTTTACGGGGGGGTGACTGCCGGGGACGCCGTTTACCTTTACGGGGTGACTGCCAAGGACGCCGTTTACCTGTACGGGGGGGGGTGACTGCCGGGGACGCCGTTTACCTGTACGGGGGGGGCTGCCGGGGACGCGTTGCCCTGTACGGGGGGGGCTGCCGGGGACGCAGTTCACCTTTACGGGGGGGGGGGGGGGGGTGACTGCCGGGGACGCCGTTTACCTTTACGGGGTGACTGCCAAGGACGCCGTTTACCTGTACGGGGGGGGGGGGTGACTGCCGGGGACTCCGTTTACCTGTACGGGGGGGTGACTGCTGGGGACGCCGTTTGCCTGTACGGGGGGGGGGGGGTGACGGCCGGGGACGCAGTGCACCTGTACGGGGGGGGGGGGGCGGCCGGGGACGCAGCTCACCTGTACTGTGGTTTGGAGGCCAGGAGGGAACGTTCACCTGTGGGGGGCCTTTCACCTGTAGGGGAGGGGGGGCGCCGTTCACCTGTACGGGAGGGGGCGACCCGGGATGCCGTTCGCCTGTAGTGTAGGCCATTCACTATGAAGGTGGGGAGCGGGCAGAGCTGCTATGTACCCATTCACCTTTGCGCGGGGCAGTTCTCCTTTGCGAGGGGGGGGGGGGACAGGTGGAGACACGGGGACGTTCACCTTTGCCATGGGGGAGGGACAGGTGGGGGGACACCGTTCACCTTTGTGATGGGGGAGGGACAGGTGGGGACACCAATCACCTTTGCGGCTGTGGACAGGTGGAGACACCGTTCACCTGTAACTGTGTATGGGGAGTGGTACAGGCAGGGGCACGGTTCATGTATATGGGGGGGCACAGGGACACCATCCATGTCACTGCAAACTCACTATAAACTCCCTTCCATTCCTGTCTCTAGTTTGTTTGCTGCACATGAAGCTTTGACGGAATTGATGCTTCTAGAAGGATGTAATGTAAATGTAATGCTATATTTGGTAAACATTTATTTTTATTATTATGAATCCAATATTCCAGGTATTTGTACAGCACCCACAATCTACATGGTGTGTTACATAAGTTCAGAGTAGTCCTTGTCCTCATGGAGTTTCCAGTCTAAAGTCCCTTCTGAAGGTCACATGACACTTCAACCTGAGCCGCCTTCTCTGCTGTTTACTTCCTGGTTTGGGTACTCCCTCAGATGTCCACATCAATGCCTGCCTATAAGATGTCCAGCTGTGAGGTCTTCTCAGAAACCAGAAGAGGACTGAGGTCAGAGGAGGGGATGTGCAGTTTCAGGTGCCATGGATTAGCTGTCTCCCGAACCTGGAAAGGGATTGGAGGAGGATTTAGTTGATTATAGCTGAATTTTCTGAATTTTGCAGCTGCTCTTTGTATCTGTCGGTTCATCCAAGCAGTTAGGTACTGTGACCATCTCTGGACATGGACTGTATATGTTTGCATACAAACTGCCTATAGCTGATCTTCCATTTGGTATTCAACCATAGCACACAGTTCTGCTGCATCCAAAATCAGCATTCAGCTACATCTAAATGCAGCAGCCTATCTTCTGTCCCTCACCCGTCTAAATGAAATAACACAGAATGACACCAATGTGCTGTATGGAGGCTTCAATAATTCTACAACATTGTACAGTAGTAAAAATGACCAGCTCTCTAAAACGCATCCCTACTGCAGTATCTGACAGCTGATTTTATTTGTCTGCACCAGTTAGGCAAATCGGTTCTTTTTCACCTATCTGTACTTGCGGAGAAGGAATATTTTCCTGCTGACATTGCAGTGAAACTTTAAAACGTAATAAATTGATTTTGGCGAATGTGCAAAATTTTTGTAATAAAGTGAATCAGCTTGTTAATTATCTTTTTACTTTCTAGAGGACCTCCATTTAGATGATGATCTTGTCGGCGGCTTTCATTCATGTGACAGTGATGATGACGATAGAACTTCCCATGCCAGCTCGAGCGACTGGACTCCCAAGCCTTGCATAGGTATAGTTTGTCACTGTTCTCCAAAAATTCACAGTAGCCAGAGTTAGAGACCCTGTCAGAGGGTGTGAGGGTGTCACAGTATTATTTCATAAAAGAAAACATTTTATACTTGCCTGTCTAGGAGGTGGTGGTGTTTTGGAACTGCGTTCTTTTGAAGAGCCCCAGATGCTGATACAAGCCAACACTTCCAGTTGTGGTGAATAGTGCCTCCTACATCCACCATGTTTTGTAATGATGTAGCGCTCAGTGGGAGGTACCACAACCATTTGCAGTATGACACACAAAGGAGTGTCAATGCCTGGAACTTTCCAGGAAAGCAAGTTTTGGCTTCTATCGGCTATACAGAACATCTCTGATCTTGCTCTTTTAATACTACTAGAAAATTACAGCTCATTAAGGTTTAAAAGACAAAAGTGTCAAAAATGGTCAGATTCTCCTCCACTTAGACCACCTCTTTCTTTTTCTTAAACGTTTTGCATCCATTATTATTCCCTTTTCAATCTAACTTAATCTTATCTTGCTGTTACAGCTTATTTCCCCTGCATGCATCACAATGTAGCATCAAAAGGTGAATAAAAAGCTCTCCTAAAGTAAAGTTCATACTTCCACTTTGAGATTCACCATTTTATATGTTGCATAAAGGTTGCGCTAATGTGATACTAGTTTTAACCTCCCTGGCGGTATTCTTGAGTATAGCTCAGGGTTAACTTTTAGTATCACAAACGGTAACCCCCGAGCTATACTTGGGAATACACTTCAGCGTTGCTCTGGGATCCCACCAGCACTGGCCTTGTCCTGCGCTTCAGTGATGTTCCCTCCTGCAGCGTCCCCGGCCATGTCCTCCGGCCGATGCCGGCATCTGTCTTCCGGGTTACGTTCCCTGCAACGGAACCAGCGGGAATTTAAAAAATTTAAAAATTTGACATTCACTCAATCCACTAAAATCTGATAGTATTACATTACTGTATCAAACCATTTCACATACATTTTGTTCCTAGTGCTTTGTCCTGTGCCCTGCCTGCATTTTTACTGTTCTTTCTGCCTGGAAACTGAGAAATGTCCATGGCGTCCAAAAAGCGTCCCTTTAGGTCAAAAGCGGTTTTTAAACCATCTAGAATACAGCGATAGTAAATCAGAACCACTTGCAGAATTGAGTGATAATGATTTGTGGGGAAATTCATCTTCAGATACTGAAAACGATTTTGCGACTAAGCTCGGTGATGTGCGAACTTGGCGCCATATTTAAAATTTCAGTGTTTTTGGTTTGTTTATGTTATTGAATTAAATTTATTATTATATTATTTTTTATGATTATTTATTAAATTATAATTTATGATTTCGTGTTTCAAATTTTATTATACCCGGGATGTTTACTAGACTCTTGTTTGGACAGATTTCAGTGACTTATTCCTAAGAATTACAGTCCTACAATAAAAAAAACAATACATATTTTCATTGAAAACAATGTACTGCTTTGAGCACAGAAATACTGACATAATCAGACCGCTAGGGAGGTTAATAAGCCTATCTCCTTGATTACATTACCGAAAATACACTTTTTAAATTTGCTATTTATTTACAATAAAAATCAAAGAAATAAAAATACACCTATGTAAATTTGCTACCAAATTGAAGCACTATCTGTGCTGAAAAAAGCTGGTAGGTAAGTGCAGAACTAAAACATCGCCAAAATGAAAACATGCTCTGGGAAGGCTGAAGTGTCACTTAGCAAGTATGTAGCCCAGCTGCACACCAACATAAAAAATACAAGCTAAAGTTATAAAAGTCACCCCAGCTGTAAAAATTCTGTTATGACTACATTTTCATATGAATTCTATTTTAGATCCCTTTTGGTTTGATTAGTTCATGGGTTAATATGGATTACTCCACTGGTTAGAAAAAAAAAAAAAAAAACTACCCCCACATGATAGATAGATATAGATATATATTCATTCATTTTTGTATCAATGGGATCTCTTGTGTTTCGCCCAGTGTGTTCAAACCTAATTTCATCCCATTTCTTAATAGTGTAATATTGTAAAAACACATTCCCGATTTTATGTTTTACAGGTCCTTACACATTTGTTCAACGGCACCTAATGATGGGTACTGATCCTAGGACCATTCTGAAGGATCTGCTTCCTGATTCTGTTGCACCACCTGATCTAGATGATATGACACTTTGGCAAATTGTGATTAACATACTGTCAGATCCACCAAAAAGGAAAAAGCGCAAAGACATTAATACTATTGAGGACGCTGTTAAACTTCTGCAAGAGAGCAAGAAAATAATGGTGTTAACTGGAGCTGGGGTAAGCCATTGTGTTTGAAGAATTTCATATTTTTTCATTGCCAGTATTCATTATATTTCCGTGCCTGGAACTGTGGATTCAAATGTCATGAACCATACACTTAAAGGATATGTTCAATTTAAAAAAAATAAATAAATGCACATCTTTTTGCAGGTAAAAAAAATGTGCTTTTATTATTTTATTTTTATTAGGAGCCTGTAAATCTGCGGGTTGTGGGTGCAATGCAGGCTCTTGCAGACTGTCGGTGTATCTATATGGGCAAGCAGTTGTACAATGACAGAAACCATTCATGAACTACCTAGAGCTCTCACCAGCACTCTGGTAGTTCATTGAAAACCACAAGCTGTCAGCCACAAAGGCTGACAGTAGTTTTCCCATTGAAAGAACTCTGTGAATGAATGAAGCTGCAGAGTTGGCAATTGTGACAGCAAGTTCGGGGAGAAGATCCCCAGCTCACTGTCACTAGAATTGATGGATCAGGGAGAGGCTGCAACAGTGGGAGCATGTTGCATGTTCCACTCTAAAAATGTGTGGAACATGTTCCAAAGGCGAATTTTATCTTTTAACGTGGAATTCTAGGATAACCATAACTACTCTGTCCCCTCCTCTTTCCTAAAACCTATGCTTGCCTGTGTAAGAAAGATGTGTATACTTGCCTATTTTCAGGGCGGTCTGTTACATGATCTCCCTTGTGTCAGCCCGCAGTGGCTGCAGGGGAGAGAAGAGCGCGTTCTAACAATGGTTGATTATGTCAGGAGCAGCGAGGCACTCATAGGCCTCAATGGCCCATCTGATGTCAGCACTTCCTCTTCTGTCGCGAAGTAAATCAACCCCAAAGTGTACAAAACCATGGCCAATGGAGTTTTCTGAAATCTTAGAGTTAAAATTATTGAGCATGTTGGTCTCCTTTCATTGGTTTAGGATGTTCCATGGTAACAAGTTCACCTGTCCTAAGTGTTTATCAAACATTTTAGGTTTCTGTCTCCTGTGGGATCCCAGATTTTAGATCAAGGGATGGAATTTATGCACGTCTGGCAGTGGATTTTCCTGATCTTCCAAATCCTCAAGCCATGTTTGATATTGAATACTTTAGAAAGGACCCAAGACCATTCTTTAAGTTTGCAAAGGTAAGTTTAAATTTATAGTACATTTTAACCATGACACTACCGTTGTGTTGTGGGTTTTTTTTTTTTTTTTATATATCGGTGAACATCTGTCTTCTAGAGTGACATCTTTACACCTCACTCCAGAAAAAAGCCCACAACAAGAGCAGTTTTTAGACAGCTCCATGCAGGTACTGTGCACAGAGTTGATCTGAATAGCTCTGTACCTTATAATTGCTACGACTGGTCAAAGAGCAACTAATTACAGCAGTCACATGAGAGGGTGTGTCCTTACAATAGAGGAAGTGGAGTGAATAAAATGAGTAATATTTGTTTCTGAACACATTAGAGATCAGGGGCAGCTGCAGATTCAAAAGAAATTTAATCCTTACATTGCACATGGCTGCTAGGCTAAATGTAGAATTCTGGGAGAATTATTTTCAGTCTGCTGCAGGATGTAGAAAGTATTTGCGTACTCTCTTCACCAGTGGTGAACTTTGTGACTGTAGCAAGCCACTAGGTCAGGGGTAGGCAACCTTGAAGAGGTGGAGATCGACCTGAACAACATGGGAGAAGTCTAAGATCACTGGGCATGATGTCAGCCAGTTTCACCTCCTCACACCTGATTTAAACCTCTAATTGCCATACTACCGTGTCACAATCGCGTGCATTGCACAGCAATCATAGGTTTAAATCAGCTGGTGAGGATGCAACATATCTCCTCTTCACCACCTGTTAAACACACTCTGAACACTTTGCAGAGGAGCAGCAGTGATGCAACAGCCTACCGCTTTTGTGAATGACCCCCTAGTTACGTTCAGCAGTGGCACTCTTCGGGCCCGTTCACATGAAAGTTTGGGGTGTGGGGGGGGGGGTGTAAGACCCTGTAGTTGAGTCAGATTTACCACCCCCAATCCATACCCCCTTTAGCTGCTGAGGCAGCAGCCAAAGGTGTACACATGCTGCAGAAGGAACTACACCCCTGATGCTTTTGGTGGGTGCATCTGCCTGTCAATCGAGACCCATTCAAGTAAATAGGGCCACTCTGCAAGTGCCCTACAACTGAATGCTTCTGTGGGGTCCAAGGGGTTAAAGCAGTTGGTGAGAAAGCAACACAACGCTTCCTGTTTAACCCCTTGTTTGTTGTACTGCACAATGTTGCAGGGCACTTGCAGAGTGGCCTCATTCACTTGAATGGGTCATGCTTGGCAGGTGCTACACCCACCAACAATGACAGGGCGTACGAGCCAGCATCACAATGGAGACATCAACATATGCGGCTCTTGCTCCCTACTACAGCTCCAACGTTACGACTAGTCCCTCTGCAATGCACTGTTTGATGTTCTGGGTCAGCAAGCCCTGGCCGAGGTCTACTGGTAGATCACGATCTACTGGTTGCTGACCCCCACACTAGGTGAAAGGCAGCAGAGGATATATCTGTTCAAGACCACATGTGAACATAGTCAAATTCACAGACAGCAGGAATCGTATGGCTCATCCATGTGTGAACATCCTAGTCCAGTAAATGGATGGTGACCCTGGATGATGCCTGAACAAAAGTGGTTCCAAAAGATGTGGGAGATGCAGATGAGGGCATGGTCAGTGGGAGTACTGTAATTTCTGTGAACTATGATAACGTTAGGCCTTGCACTTGTACATTACTTGGCATGCATGCAAATAACATGAATAATATTTTAAAATCCACGTTACCATTTTTCTAGTCATTTTCTAAAATGCAGATACACTGGTACATTTAAATTAGAATATCATTTGTTAGAAGAAAAAATGGAACAATACACAACCGTAGTGTGATATATTCCTTTCTGGTTTGTGTGGATAAGTATCGGTCATATAGATATATTACAAAGCAACTGGCTGATAATGAGGCTTCTTTGGAACATATTCATTGCACATTAGTGAGAAGGAAGTGTATGTGTGTATAGATACCTATTACAGTTCTGTGCTAATGCTGTAAATTAAGAAAGCTTTCAGAAGTAGAAGTGTTAATAGTTATTTTATCAATTAACAAAATAAGTTCAAAGTAAACGAAAAGAAGAAAAAAATCCAACTCAAAGCAATGTTTGGTGTGAGCACCCTTTTACCTTCACTGTATCGATTCTTCTAGGTACACTTTCACACAGTTTTTGAAAGAACTTGGCAGGTTGGTTGTTCCAAATGTCGTGGATATCTAACCACAGATCTTCTATGATGTAGGCCACCTCAAATCCTTCTGTCTCTTCATTTAATCCCAGACAGACTCGATGTTGAGATCAGGGCTCTGTGTGGCGGCCATCACTTCCAGGACTCCTTGTTATTCCTTACACTAAAGATAGTTCTCAATGACATTGGCTGTATGTTTGGGGTCATTGTCCTGCTGCAGAATAAAGTTGGGGCCAATCGCACTCCTCCCTGATGGTATAGCATAATGGATAGGTATCTGCCTGTATTTCTCAGCATTGAAGACACCATTGATCCTGACCAAATCTCCAACTCATTTGCAGAATTGCAGCCCCAAACTTGCAAAGAACCTCTGCTATACTTCAGACACTCATTATTTTAGTACCTATTATTATCCAGCCCTTTGGTGAACTAACTGCCTCCTCCTACAGCCAAATATTTCAGATTTTGACTCTTCAGTCCAGAGCACCTGCTGCCATTTTTCTGCACCCCAGTCCCTATGTTTCCTTGCATAGTTGAGTTGCTTAACTTTGTTTCCATATCAGAGGTATGGCTTTTCTTTCATGAAGACCACTTCTGGCCAGACTTCTCCACACAGTAGATGAGTATGCTTTGGTCCCACTGGTTTCCACCAGTTCTGTGCCGATGGCACTGCTGGACATCTTCCAGTGTCGAAGGAAAGTAACCATGATGTGTCTCATCTGTTGCATTAATCTTCCTTAGCCGACCACTGCATCTACGGTCCTCAACGTTGCCCCTTCTTTTTTTTTTTTTTTTTTTTTTTTTTTTTTTTTTTTTGCGCTTCTTCAAAAGCGCTTGAACAGCACATCTTGAAACCCCAGTAATTAAAATACATATCTTTTGAAAGCAATCTTGGTTTACAGCATTTCTTCACACCTGACTAAATCTTTTGCACAGTTCTGTATATATTTATACTTTTTTGTTTCATTACAGTGATTATACATTATACGTATACATGGTTGTTAAATGCCATTTCAATCGTTTCATTACTTGTCTCCTTTTTTTTTTTTTTCCCCTTTTTAGGAACTTTTTCCAGGGCAGTTTCAGCCATCTCTCTGTCACAAGTTTATTGCTATGTTGGATAAAGAGGGAAAGTTACTTCGAAATTATACTCAGAATATAGATACACTGGAGCAAGTAGCAGGAATTCAAAGAATTATCCAGTGTCATGGTGAGCAGTTTATTTTCTTTTGTTTAAAAATGTAGGTACCGTTAAATGCATTTTGTTGACAGCAATTTCTTTCCTGGCCTAAAAAAAAAAAAATTATGTGAGAAATTTTTCTAATGAGGGCATATAGAATGAAACCCGCCTGTCATACCAAAAATACTTTGGGGGCATGGAGAGCATCAGTGTGTAACTTCCCTGCTTGGTGTATATGGTGTATGTTGTTGCATGACTGAGATTAAAATATGTGATGGAAGGCTAAAAAGAATTTACCATCATATTTCTAATGTAGATATACATTATAACTGCCAAGCTTTAATTATTTTTTTTTTTTTTTAGGTCTCTTTTTAATCTTTTATTTCACAGTAAATGATAGTTTCACTATTTTAGATTCCTAATTAGATTTTTTATTTTTTTTTGGCATAAACTATCATATAAAGTAAAACCCTGTTTTTCAAGCTGCTTTTTTTTTTTTTTTTTTTTTTTCCTTCATAGGATCTTTTGCAATGGCCTCTTGTCTAATCTGCAAACACAAAGAAGACTGTGAAGCTGTCAGAGAGGATATATTTAATCAGGTACTGTGCTTATTACAATGGGTCTTCAAAATGTTTCCTCATATTATATTCTTAAAGTGTTACTAAACCCCAGGACCCTGCATTCACTATATCTGGTCTCCCACAGTACACAGAGCTTAGTAAAGCTATTTTAGTAAATATAAACTGCTTAATCCTAATTAAAAGGTATGCGCTAATAACAAACTTGTACAAAGGTGTATATCATCATCCAAAAACATTTAGTGTTTAAAATAAATAATTATAGTGTCCAAACATAAATTCGTGTCCAAAAAATATATATATATCTTCAGTGACTTGAACCAATTGTGAAAAATCCACCACCAAAGGAGATTAAATGAACTCACCAGAGCTAATGGCTGGTCAGATTATAAACCAGCAACAGCGCTTGTGCTCTGGAGCAATGAACCCGATGTCCAAATAGATATGGTGATGTTTCAGATACTTCCAGATAATAATAATCACAGACAAACAACTTTGCAGCCCAAGCTCTTGTGATGAACTTCTCCACTCTCTCTCATACCTCCTTGAGAGCATACAGTACACTCAGGGACAAAAAAGAGAACATAATGGTGCAATACGTTTTTTTAATTTTTCTCTTTAATAAAAAAGGTATAAGGAAACTCACAAACAAGGTGTCCAACAGACACCAGCTTCAATCGCAAAACAAGGTGAGATACAGTTACCGCTCACAGCGGATCTCTCCCATACAGCACAGAACAACAAGGCTCTCTAACGTCCACATTGAGTAGGCTACGCCCAACCGGTTTCGTCACACTGACGTCATCAAGGGTGTGACGAAACCGGTTGGGCATGGCATACTCGATGCGGACGTTAGAGAGCCTTCTTGTTCTGTGCTGTATGGGAGAGATCCGCTGTGAGCGGTAACTGTATCTCACCTTGTTTTGCGATTGAAGCTGGTGTCTGTTGGACACCTTGTTTGTGAGTTTCCTTATACCTTTTTTATTAAAGAGAAAAATTAAAACAACGTATTGCACCATTATGTTCTCTTTTTTGTCCCTGAGTGTACTGTATGCTCTCAAGGAGGTATGAGAGAGAGTGGAGAAGTTCATCACAAGAGCTTGGGCTGCAAAGTTGTTTGTCTGTGATTATTATTATCTGGAAGTATCTGAAACATCACCATATCTATTTGGACATCGGGTTCATTGCTCCCAGAGCACAAGTGCTGTTGCTGGTTTATAATCTGACCAGCCATTAGCTCTGGTGAGTTCATTTAATCTCCTTTGGTGATGGATTTTTCACAATTGGTTCAAGTCACTGAAGATATATATATATTTTTTGGACACTAATTTATGTTTGGACACTATAATTATTTTAAACACTAAATGTTTTTGGATGATGATATACACCTTTGTATAAGTTTGTTATTAGCGCATAACTTTTAATTAGGATTATTGTTGCCAAAATTTATTTTGGGTGGGATATGCTGCTGACACTTTGATGTTTTTTGTAAGTGCCGCTTTTTTCTTCTTTTTTAATTTGGTATAAACTGCTAAATACCTTTTCTCATCAGCAGTATATAGCAGTCTTGTGACTTCTACCAGTGTCCAGCCGAGCACTGGTTAGAGCTTGTAGTAGATTTCATTCTTTTCTGACTGTTCTATGAGGCTGCATAACCCCCAACCCTCTGTCTGATCAGTTATCATTGGCTATGTGCCGATCACATGCACCTTCCCAAAGAAAAAAAAGATGGACTGGGTACAGTAGAAGAAGCGGAGGATCAGAGAAGACAGGATCAAACTGACTTTTTTACACAATTCAGAGCATTTGTCCCTTGGGTTCCACAATTAGTATAACAAGCATGCTGTACTGCATATACAGACTGATTTTACTGTTGTGGGTTTAGTAACACTTTAAAAAAAAAGTGCAGAAACATTTTGAAGAACCCTCATAGTTCAGTGCACACTGCTCTATAATTTTAGATACTGTTTTTAATATATAATATTGGCGATGTGCCTCATTCCTTAGTAAATGACGTTCAGCTTTAAAAGTGATTCTTAAGGTTGTAATTTTAAAAATTAAAAAATTTTATAATTACATGCTCTGGTTTGCACAGAGCAGCTCTGATCCTTCTTTTTGAGTCCAACACAGGTGGTCCTGGCTGCCCCCCCCCCCCCCCCCCCCCATATCGTGTGCCCTCAATAGAGAGCCCCTTGCTACAGGGGCACTCGAGCAGGCTCGTTCTCGTGCTGCGCTCTTGTGAATGGACATTGTCTGTTTACCCACAGAGTGCTGGGTGGCCCCCTGTTCTCCTCATTGGCTCATCAGCTGTGACTGACAGCGGCAGGAGCCCTTGGCTCCCACTGCTTTATGAGCCAGTGAGGAGAGAGAGACCCGGGAGAGCCGCGGCTCCCTTGCACATCACTGGATTGAGGTGGGGCTCAGGTATGTATAGCGGAGAGATGGAGGAACTGCACCCGGAAGTTTTTTTACCTTAATGTATTACAAGTTATACCCTAACTTCAGGTTGGGTTTAACTTTAAAAAGTTAATTTGAACCAAGCTGGTCCAAAACAAACTTTCATTCACTAACAGATGTGCTTGCTTGATGTACTCATAAACTGTATGTAGCATCAACTACATACAGTATATAACATTGTGTTCCAGCAGCGGGTTGGAGACTTTGTCTTTTTCCAGGAACCAAATTAAGTCAGGCTGAGCACTGCTTGGCCATTCAGAGGAATCTGTGTTTTATGACTGAATACAAGGCTTCCTCTGATTGGCTGAGGTGGGGGATTGATGTCAATCTTCACCCCAGCCAACCAGAGGAAGCTTTGTATTCATTTAAAAAGAGAAAAGCTTCCTTTGAATGGTTTAGCACTCAGCCCACCACAGTTTTTGTTCCATGAACAGGATGGGAAATCTTCATCCTGCTGTTAGAACACAGCACTCTATACTGTATGTAGATGAAGCTACAATACAGTTTATATAGCACTCCCAAGAAGTGCATCTGTTAGTGAAGGAAATGGTGTATTTGGAATAGATTGGTCCAAATGAACTATTTTAAACTGGTTGTAAAATAAGTGTGTGTGTATGTTTTATAAATTGGAAAAGAAAATGCCATACTTACCTGCTCTCTGCAGTGGTATTGCATAGAGCAGTCCCTTACCTCCTCTTCCTCCGCTGGTGGTGTCTGCTTCTCTTTTCCTGCATGTGTCCCCATAGCAAGCTGTGTGCTATGGGGTTGCACCTGTGGGCATGCTCCCATGCCAGGCCGTATGCGTCCATAAACACACACGGCGCAGCTTGGCTATCCATGCCCCTGCTTCCTTTTGAATTTGGATTTGACTGAAAGCAGCGGGAGCTAATGTCTCCTGTTGCTGTCTGAGTTTCCTGTAAGATCAGGAAGTGAAGAGAGAAGACCTGCTGCCAGGCACAGAGCAGGATGGGGGCGGGGGGTATGGGTTGTAGGGGGAAAACAGTAGGGAGGTGTTGTGGTGTTTTTGTTTTTTTTTTTATCCTTTAAAGCAGTAATAAACCCAAAAGTAAGCATTTTATTATATTGCAGCTTACCAATTATTAGATTTGATGGTTGTATTAGTTTCCTTTTTTAGGCTTGTTTTTTTTTCTTCTAATTTCATCTGGTGAATCGGCCATCAAGTCTCCAGCAGAAGACCACTTAACACTAGCAGGGGTGAATAAAATGATCAGTTTTTATTCATTTATGTAAAACCTTTATCCCAAAAGGAAAGGAGTTTGGCTAAATTTGTTAGTGTATCTGAATTTGCTAATACATTTAACACTAACCATCCCCCCCCCCCAACTTATAATGGTGCTGTCTGCTGTGCCTCCTATCCCATTCTTTCAGTGTTGTGTCTCACTAATGCAGGAGGTGTGTTACTGGTCAGATCACCAGGTGAAAACAGAAGGGAAAGCCAAAGAAAACTGATGCAGCCACCACATCTGATTGGTAAGCTGCGATATAATACATTGTTGGTTTTGGGTTTAACACCGCTTTAATGCAGGGACTGCATTAAGGTACAAAAAACTTGTAGACTTTAGAGCCGCTTTAAGTTAAATCAAACCTGGAGTTTGACTTTAAATCAACTGTTACTACAGAACACAGCAATGATTTGGCAGCTGGCAGTAATAACTACAGTGTGAGGGACAAGACAACTGACACCATTCTTTCCATGCCTGTTGTATTTTTGTGCAAAGTGTGTTTGTCTGGCAATCCGTTTAGAGTAAATTTGGTTATGCACCTATATCTGGGTCAAACTTAAGTGTATTTTTTATGAAGTAGAAATGAGGATTTTGCTAGTCTGCAAGACCCTTAAATCTTTGGATTTTCTGGATTCAAAACAGGTACCAGAGAGTAACAAATGCCAAAATGGGTCTGATCATAAAAGCAAAAACATTTTAATGAGACTATTTTTATTTTATGAACAGGTTGTTCCACGATGTCCTAGGTGTCCAACAGAAGAGCCCCTTGCAATTATGAAACCTGATATTGTATTTTTCGGGGAGAATTTGCCGGAACAATTCCATAGGGCAATGAAATATGACAAGGATGAGGTTGACCTTCTTATTGTTATTGGTTCCTCGCTGAAAGTGAGACCAGTTGCTTTAATACCAAGTAAGTGCTTTAGTGTCAACAGTGAAGTATTAGAAAACTGTACACCTCAGATGAAAGTTATCTTTTTGTGTAGTGGTATATTGATGTGCTGCCTTTTTTGTGTTTTTGAGGATGCCAGTTGAGTGCATAGGCTTTCTCTTTTCTGAAAAATATTTGATTGAAAATAGCTGAGCAGAAATGTATAATTGTATGGATTTAACACTTTAAAGCTCCCCTTGAACTGAAAGGCAAGGTCTTGCTATTTAGGAGGCTTAGAAAATATACTTGGCTTACAAAATGAAGGGGGACATTCCTGTATTGTCCAGGAGATTCTGAAAATGCTGAGTATCCTAAAGTCCATAAGCAGTCGCTAGCACATCTGCTGAGATTTGGGATCGTAATCATTTTCAGGATTTTGCCTTTTTTTTTTTTTTTTTTTTTTTTCTGTATTTTTAATGCATTGAATAGTGGAGGGATCTGTTGTAACAAGTGTACTTTGCCTTTTAGCGCAAGGTCCCCATTTAAGTACATTATAGTGTGTGTGAGCTCTTTCATGTTGCTTGTAATATCCAAGTGAACACAAATGGGGTTTTGCTGCTATTCTTAACCATTAGGCACTTTTTGGTCACTCCCTGACAAGGTACCCTAACTGTTCCCTAGTGTAAGGGCTACTTGTCAGGATAGATTTTTGGAATTGCAACTCCTAACTTGTTTTTGAAAGCACATTTTAATTCATACATACAATCAATAATTTTCACGTGTGTATCAAGTCTAAGCATTTAACCACCTCAACACTTTCACCCCCCTTCCTACCCAGGTTTTTTTTAAGCTTGCAGTGCTCTCACATTTTGAATTCCAATTATGCAGTCATGCAACACTGTACCCAAATGAAATTTGTATTATTTTTTTTCTAGATAAAGCTTTCTTTTGGTGGTATTTTAACAACTTCAGTACTGTGCCATAGTGAGTAGATGGCTACAGCACTGCTCTTGTCCTGGGAGGACATCCTCCCAGAATGCGCTTCTCTCATGGCCCCTGGTGTGCGGATCAGGCACTCTCTGTGACCGCTGTGTCCTTTGGACACAGCCGATTACAGATCGAGCTAAAGGGCCTATCACAACAGCCCTTTACCATGTGATCAGCTGTGCCCAACCATAGCTAATCACAAGTAAGTAAACTTGCCAGTTATGCATTTCCTTTCCTCATGCGCTGTCACTGGGTGATGTCTAAGTGGCAATCTTGACAGGGCACATCTACACTGATAAGCAGGGCTCTGATTATCAGTGCAGTCCCATCAATGTCATCTATCGGTGCCCATCAGTGCAGAAGAAAATTTACTTAGTTGCAAACTTTTATAACAGAAGAAACTAAAACTTTTTTTTTTTCCTTACATTTGTTTAGCAAAATATGAAAAACCCAGAGGCAATTTAAATACCACCAAAAGAAAGCTCAATCTGTCCATAAACATGATAATTATCATTCAAATATTCAAAATGTGACAGCGCCAAATGCTGAAATTTTGGCCTGGGCTTGAAGGTGGTGAAAGTGCCCAGTATTGAAGTAGTTAATCACCATTGGGGTCACCACTTTTCTTTTGTTTCCATTATAAAATTTTGTACATTTTCTTTCTTAAATGTAGGCCAAAATTATTCTTCTACATTGCTTTGGTAAAATTACAATCAGTGTATATTTAGTCTGTATGGACTTTGTAGTGTACAAACTACAATATACTTGAAAATTGATCAATCCTGATTTACTGACTCATTTCTTGAGGTTCTGAAATGCCACAACAGTACAGATATCCCTGAAATAACCCCTTTTTGGAAAGTAGTCCAAAGTATTTAGTAAGGGGCATGGCGAGTTTTTTGAAGTTGTAATTATTTTGTCTTGGACAATGAAGAAATTTCAAGGTTTTTTTTTTTTGTTTTTTGCTTTTCATAATTTTTCAGTTTTTTTTTTCACATAATGTCACCAGTGCAGTACAGCATCATATGACTGATGTGGCGGTAATTAAGGATACTGACTGGTAACAGCATGTGACCAGAGCAGTGTAGTGTTACCGTAGTGCAACTGTACTTTGGGAGGAGAAGGATGAGTTATGATTGCTTGTTATAGTAATGATCACTGTAACAGCAATCGTTTTAATTGTCACAAGTGGCTTTCATTCATGACAGCTTGCTTACTATTGTGATGCTGTGATTGGCTACAGCTATCACATGGTAAAAGGCCATGTACTATGTGAAAACTGTGATCAATCACAGACATTACAATAGTAAGCAAGCTGTCATGCATGGTATGATACCCCTTGTGGCCGGGTACCAAGCATTACTACAGGAGTGCGCCACTGCATGCGCTAGGGAGGACTTCCCTGGACGACCTCCTAGAACTGGAGAACCACCCCAACGCTGTGTAATGGTTAAATGGCCCATCAGGAATATATGCTGCTTAATAGACTGGTAGAGTAGAACACTAGAACTCAACAAAACCCAGACAAGCAAAAAATGCAAATAGACCAGTGGCAATAGTCACAATTGCATTAATCCACTATAATAGGTGAAATGTCACTATATATAGTATAAACACAAAATACATCAGTCTTTACAGTCCTTTGAGCAAGTTGATGGCAAACTCCCGCAGCAGGCAAAAGTGGAACACACTTGCTGTGTATGGCTAGAAGCCATCTATGTGTAACTTTGTTTCTGTGCTTTTGGCCTGGTCCATTGATGTTATAGGTCCTCATCAGAGAGCAGTGCCGCTTTATAAAGCATTCTTTAAGTTCTGATGATAACCTCAGCAAAAGCCCACAGACCTGTTAATTGAATGGCTTTGCTTCTTTGTTTTACTGATGGATGGCAGCTCTTGGATTTCTTGCGAGGATTTGAGATGGGTTGTTCCCAGCTATCAGAGGAAAAATTACAGGATGTTGCCAGGTTTCTCAGCTATCAGTCGGATGTGGTATTCATGGTACACAGAAAATGAGGTTTAGCGTCCCAGTCATTTGTGAGATCATGTGACACAGCACTCCCAGCTATCAGCGAAATGGTTCTAGGATGAGTCTGTATCCCCCAGCACAAAGTGGGAATGGCAGTCATGGCGCACACACACATGATGAGGCGTATAGCAGCGAAGACTAGGTTGACTGAATGCTCAGCTAACAGAGGGGAGGTCTAGAGATGCATCCTAGAGATCTTCCACAAGGCTATCAATGCACATGTATGTGCATTTTTATGTTGACACAAGGCACTTGATCAAACTCCGTTCAAGCTGTTAAGGAGTAACTCCACTTTTGTTTATATAATATAAATAATAAAAACACAATGGAAATATCTTTCATCCCTGGATGATCTTTGAACATTACAACATTTTATAAAAATTTGGTGCAGTTTTTCTACTTTTGGGTGTTTGCTTTGTACATTGTAAGCTATACAACATTAAAGCTGGACTCTAGACAGATAGACGTACATTAAAGCAGCTCTTTAATTATTATTAAATAATTATGTGTATTTTTAAATGCAGGCTGTGCAAGTACCTGAATCTGACCTTGATATCAGCCTCTTGCAGTAGTCTCTGTATAGCAGAGTCAGAATGTGAGAGGAAGCTGTACAAGGTGCCAAATGAGTTCATGTGCTGCAATAAAGTATGCTGATGAGAGAAAGTAGAGTAGTTGACCTTATCACTGTGCTATTCTCCTTCTCACTGTCTAGTCCAGCAATGGGCAAACTACGGCCCGCGGGCCATATACGGCCCGGCGGACCTTTTAATCCGGCCCGTGGAGCGTGATACTGTCAGGATGGCTGTCGGGATGTGTGTAGGCGGGGCAGCGTGACGAACGTGAGGGGAGCTAGGCTCCTCTCACAGTCCGCCCTGAAGACCGGAACGGCGCGGGAAACACGGCGAGAAGAACGCGCGGAGCAAAGGTAAGTGAATTGACACGGGGGACTTGGCTTACTACTTGGGGGGGAATAGTACTATCAGATGAATTAATATGGGGAATGAATTACTATAGGGGGGATGAATTACTATATGGGAGATGAATTTACTATAGGGGAGATGAATTACTATATGGGGGGATGAATTACTATATGGGGGATGAATTACTATATGGGGGATGAATTACTATATGGGGGATGAATTACTATGGGGGATGAATTACTATGGGGGATGAATTACTATAGGGGGGATGAATTACTATAGGGGGGATGAATTACTATAGGGGGGATGAATTACTATATGGGGGATGAATTACTATATGGGGGATTAATTACTATGCTTACTATGGGGGAATATTACTATACTTACTATGGATGACACATACACATCATTCATCTACTCTTGGTCCGGCCCCCGGGTCCAATATATGAACCCATTGCGGCCCTCAAGTCAAAAAGTTTGCCCACCCCTGGTCTAGTCACAAGGTGGGACCTGGCCCAGGGTGACCTAGGCTCAGAGGAAGTGATTTGAATGTTGCTGTTCATCAGACTGATGCCATCTAGTGGCAGAAGAAAGTACTGTTGGGGAAACATCTGAATTGTGAATATTGCAGCAAAAGGTTTTTTTTTTTTTTTTACCTGGAACAAGCATGCAGCCAGTCAACTGTCAGGGCACCTGATATTTTGAAAGTGCAAGCTCCAAAGCAGCCTTTTTGCATCCTCACTCTGCTTAGTAAGTTGCTGACCTGGAAAAAGCATGCAGTCAGTAAAGTTTTAGGACATCTAACATGCAAATGCACATACTAGAATTGTTAAGAATTGATAACGATAGCAGCCCTGAAATTTGCACCTTCATAAAGTCAGAAGTCGCCGTTCTCATTTTCCTATCCTGATTTAATGTGAAAGTATTCAAGCTGTCACATGACAAACCTGACCAGCAAGAGGATAGCAGCTAGACTGAATGTTGTGATTGGTTCACTACTGTCATAAAGAAGCTGTCAAGGAAAAGTTGTAATACAGCCCTCTTACTGCTACATACTCTGCCTTTCCTCACAGTTTACAGCAGCAAAGATTTAATTTATGAATTAACTTCTCTTCTGCATAATCCTTTAATTTTATAGACTTTACTTCTTAGCACTCACTTATTCTCCCCCCCAAGCAAAATAAATAACTTCCATTAATAGTGATTAATTCAGTTAATAACTTGTAAAGTTTTTATTTTTAACGTTTTTCTTTTTTGTTTTTATTTAGGTTCCATCCCACACGAAGTGCCTCAAATTTTGATTAATAGAGAGCCTTTGCCTCATCTTCATTTTGATATTGAACTGCTTGGAGACTGTGATGTCATTATCAATGAGCTAAGCCAGAGACTGGGCGGAGAGTATGCAGAACTCTGTAGCAATTCCTTGAAACTTACACAAATCACAGAGAAACCTCCCCGGCCAAACAAAGTGCTTTCCATTATGCTAGATGCACAATCTAAGGCTTTGGGCACTGGCCATGGTTTAGTCTCTCAAGATGGCCTAGCTCACCCAGAATTACCTTTGACCCCACCACTTGAAGACTGCTTGTCATCGGAAAGTGACTCTGAACTTTCTCAAAGTTGTAAAGGAAAAATTACTGTAGATAGTATAAATGGTAGAGAAGTATTTACACCACCAGAGCCTTCAGAACCTGTAAGTGAAACCCCAACCAGCAACACTGAAGAGCCAGAGAAATGTGACAATGAGAGCAGTATTGATCCGTCCAGGACAAGTTTGTCCAAAATGGCAAAGGAGCAGATAAGCAAACGCCTAGATGGTAAGCATACATTTTCAGATGACCGTTGTTACAGTGGCATGGCAGGTTACCTACTGATTGGAATTACATTTTTCATGTAAAGCTAGATTCTAAAAAGCAGAAGCTATACATGTTACAAGTGATTATATTTTTAGAATTTTTTTTAACCATGTGCTTTCTAAGCCCATTCTGACACTTCTCTCCTACATGTAAAAATGATCATTTTTTTTTACAGAAAAATTTGTTTTTGTGCAGTAGTTTTTTTTTAACGCAATTTTATTTAAGAAAAAAAAAAGTACACTTTTAATGAATTTTAGTGCACACAAACATAATATATCCATTTTTTGGTAAAATATATTAGACTGAGGTTACGACGAGTAAATGGATACCTAACATGTCACGCTTTAAAATTGAGTATGAATGTAAAACGGCACCAAACTATAGTACCTAAAAATCTCTATAGGCGCCACTTTGCCTTTATAGGTTACCAGGTCTGGGGCTAGAATTATTGTTCTTGGGACCAACACAGAGATGGGGGTGCTTTAAAAAAAAAAAAAAAAAATTGATTTGAATGTTTGTTTTTATTTTTACACTCTTTTAATGTATTTTTTTTCTTTTATCACTTTCTATTGCTGTCACAAAAAATGTAAACATCCAAAGCTCACTGTACAAATTCGGCAATGCCGAATCTGACTGAACTCCCTGTGCATGTGTGGGAGTGATGTCATCCCCGCCTAGCCAATGACAGTGGCCGGCAATCGAAACCCCGAAGTCGGCTTCCCAGGCAAGCAGGCAGCAGCGGGTTGTTGCATTGCTGGAGCCAATGTGAGTATGGTTCCGCGTTAAAGTCGGAATCTCTCCAGAGCCTGGACCTGTTTAGTGATGTTAGCCGACGGCAAGCTTTAGCCCACCGTCAGCTGAATACTGATCACAATATTCACAACTAAGTGCACTCCTGTGTCCCACAGGAGAAGAAAAACCATAAAAGCATTGGCCCTACTTTTAAGGCCGGCATCCGGAAACAAATTAACAAATTGGTAATGGCCTTGTATAAAAACTTGTTTCTGTTCTAAATTATCCTTAAAGTGGACCTAAAGTCTAAACGTAAACAGGTATAGTTCCATGTTTGGTCACCCAATATATTGAAGATGCAGTACATAATGAAAATCTCCTTACATTATGAAGATAAATATCTCATGTTTACAAGGTAACAATGCTTTCTTTGGACATAAAGGGTATCAGGCCTGCCACCACTTTATGCTATCCGTTGCTCAAAACCTTAGAGGTAGGGAGGCTGATGACATCAATAGGGCTTTAAGAAAACTGATGCCCAGCAACCACAGTAAATTTTTTTTATTCTTCCAACAATAATACCGTTATTCTGTCAAGCTAATGTGTCCATCAAAATGTCTGATTCTAATTCATCTTTTTTATATATATATTTTTTTAGGCACACAATATTTATTTCTATCCCCAAATCGCTATATTTTCCATGGTGCAGAAGTGTTCTCCGACTCTGACGACGACCTGTCATCCAGCTCTTGTGGAACAAACAGTGACAGTGAATCTTTACAGAGCCCAGGATTACAGGAACCTGTAGAAGAAGACAGTGAAAATGAAGATTTCTACCCCATTAAATATGATCATGACTCTGACACTGAAAATAGGGCAGGCTTTGAGGAAGAGCCTGAAACTGCTGTAATATATGAGAACAATGAGATTCTAGGTGATGACAGTACAGACACAAAGTTATAGTATGGACATTGCCTTAATATCCACCAATCACCAGCATTAATGATTGCAACGTGGACAGAAAAAAAAGCATGTCAATATGTGGACTTAAGAGCATGCACAACAGAAGATGTTACTTTACATATATTAAAACACAGGAAGTAAATGGTCATAACTTTTTTTTTTTCTCCAAGAAATTTAAATTTACACTAAACTGTTCTGTAACTAGTTTTGTAACATTTTACCTTTTTTTCTTTTTACTATTTTTTTTTCCTTTGCCTAGTGATTGAAACTCAGATGCAGTATTGTGATTAATAATTTTTTCTTAAGAAAAAAAAAAACACATTTTCATGAAAGCTATTTAAAAGTAAGGTTTAAGTTAAAGAAACAGCTAAAATAGGCCAAAGACAAGTTTGTTTTGTTTGTTTGTTTTTGTGTAACAGTACATTATTGGGTAACAACACCTTTTACATTTTTCCTTTTAAGTGTGTTTTTTGTTTTTTTGGGTTTTTTTTCTTGAACTTTTTTATCAGATAACTACATTTTATAGATAACTCTTATTCCTTGATTTGAGTTAGTTATGTTACTGTTTTTGTAATATAGGCTTTGGAGAATTTTGGGGGAAAGGAGCCAATATAAACCAGAATTTTCTTAACTATCTGCCTTTTTGATACTTGCGTGCATATCTCCAGAAGATCAAAATGGGAATTTGCATCTCTGCATAATTACATCTGTTTTCTCAATATTTATGTGATTTGCAGCTTTGTTTAAAAGAAATATAAATGGAAATGTTGAGGCTCTTCTTTTGCGTTGAGAGTATGTGCCTAATTTATTTTTTGGTCTGCTTTGTCTGTATGGGTGGGAAGAGCTTTGTCCTCCTGGTAGAATTTGTATCGAAGAGTACTTTCAATAAAAATTCTATCATCTTAATATGCAAGCTACTTGTAATATATTGTTGATCTGCGTTAATGTCTTTCAGTCAGTATTTTATAATATTGAACATTCTTGTATAAAATATTTGTACTTTTACCTCTCTTTAATATCTACTTTTTTGCAGTATCTAAAAAAGAAAAAAAAAATAAAGTGAAAGTTTGAATCCATCTAGAATCAAATAGAATCTCAGTTCTGAACAGACAGCAGTGAGGCCCATACACCTTCTGGCTTGCTAAACCTTGAAGATAAGCTTACAACCTTTTTAAACCAGCCCAGCCAATGCAGAGTTTTAAGTTGAACCCATCATTTGATAGCATTCAGATATTTATTATTTATTTTTTCAGGGTTGGTTTGCTGAACTTATGAACTCAAAACGTTGTGTACCATTTGAAAATGTATATTACATCTGTGTACATGGTATTCAATGGGATACATGCTTTTCAAACATAATCCATCTAAGCCATCTATGTAAATGTAACATTTATATGTCTCCTTTTAAAATGAATGTTGCATTCTGTGTATGTACCACGTTTACTGTAATTGAAAAGAATTATCATACATAAATTTTGATGATTTAATTTAGGCCAGTGGTGGGTTTTTTTTTTCTCCCATATTGCAAGCAAGTGTGCATTTTGGTCTGGACCTCAGGTGGGAATTTTTTTTTTGGGGGGTTGTAAACATATGGTTCCTAATACGCAACCAGTCAAATGTGGGCAGTTGACAGGTATATTTCAGATTTCAGACACGCCTGAGCTATCCTGCAGTTTGTTTAAGCCAACAGTCAGTCACAGGTGGCAGAGGTGTTTCTTGCCTTTTGGTTAGCTGACCTCTGCCCTTTATCCTCAGCTCTACGAACCCTTGTAAATTGCCCTACCTGACCTCTGCCTTACTGCCTCCCTTTACAGTGCCCCACTCTCCTGAGCCCTGCTGACCCCTTTGTGCTACCCTATTGTCCTCCAACCTGCTGACCTTTGTCCTCCGCCTTATTGACCTCTGTACTTTGGCCTTCTGCCCTCCTGTGCACAGTGCTAGATTCTTCTGACCTCTTACACTGCCCCAAATACTGCTGACCTCTGTAAACTGCAATAGTTACTACTGCCCTACACACTACTGACCCCCTAGACACTGGCCTACATAATGTGAATGGTAAGTTCCTCAAGGAAGCTATCTTTTAATGTAGGTTGAGTTTTTATATTTTTTTACAGTGACATTTGCTAGTTTTATTAGACTTTTTGGAGTTTTCTCAATGTCATCTTCTGTTTTCTATTGGGACCTTGCTAGTTGATTTGTTTATTTTAAAAAAGGTGCTGCACCTCAGTGATCTTTGATCTCTTCCATGGTCAGGTAGATCTCCACCTTTGAAAGGTTGCCTGCCTGTGCTGTGTAGAGTGAGAGCATTTATAATCAAAGCCAGAGCTTGACAAATTTGCTTTGAAGCTAGGTCAAAGCCAGAGCTTGACAAATTTGCTTTGAAGCTAGGAGCCAGCAAAAAAAAGTTAGAGCATGGTTTTTTTTTTTTTTTTTCCTCTTATGAACAGCTTTCGTAAGGAGGGTTGGGCCATTTTTTGCAGATTGGCTGGTGTCGAGGGAGAGGGGAGTCTTTTTGCATGGCGGCTGTGGGTCTGCTGTGGGAGGGGGCGGAGGGTGTATGGTGTGTAGAAAGGAAGTGAATAAGCAGCAGAGCTGAAGTTTTTTTTGTTTTAGGATGTTTGAGATGGATCGGCTGTTCTCGGAGCTGCATGTCTGGGGCGGCGGGCAATGGGTGTTGCTGGTGCCAGTGGTGAGTAGGCTGGGGGAAGCCCAGGTGTCAGGACATGGTTTCTGGTCACCATGGCGACCTGAGATCTGTTGAGCCCTGCACCCAATATTCACCCTGGTTCCCCCCCTTGATACGTCCCTCCGTATACACGCTTGTTTTTTTTTTTATATATATATATATATATATACGCACATGGACTTTACTGGCATCCCAGTCTTAGTCTATAGGGTTCAATATTGAGTTGGCCCACCCTTTGCAGCTAGAACAGTTTCAAATCTTCTGGGAAGGCTGTTCACAGGGTTTAGGAGTGGCTATGGGAATGTTTAACCATTCTTCCAGAAGTGCATTTGTGAGGTCAAGCACTGATGTCGGTCGAGAAGGCCTGGCTCGCAGTCTCCGCTCTAATTTATCCCAAAGGTGTTCTATAGGGTTGAGGTCAGGACTCTTCAGGCCAGTCAAGTTACTCCACCCCAAACTTGCTCATCCATGTCTTCATAGACCTTGCTTTGTGCACTGGTGCTTGGTCATCTTGGAATAGGAAGGGGCCATCCCCAAACTTTTCCCACAAAGTTGGGAGTATGAAATTTGTTCAAAATGTCTTGATATGCTGATGCCGTAAGTGTTCCTTTCACTGGAAATAAGGGGCCAAGTCCAACCCCTGAAAAACAGCCCCACACCATAATCCCCCTCCACCAAACTTTACACTTGGCACAATGCAGTCAGGCAAGTATCGTTCTGGCTACCACCAAACCCAACCATGTCCATCATATTGCCAGACAGAGAAGCGTGATTCGTCACCCCAGAGAACACATCTCCACTGCTCTAGAGTCCAGTGGTGGTGTGCTTTAAACCATTGCATCTGATGCTTTGCACTTGGTGATGTAAGGCTTTGATGCAGCTGCTCGGCCATGAAAAACCAATTTCATGAAGCGCTCTAAGCACTCTTGTGCTAATCTGAAGGCCACACGAAGTTTGGAGGTCTTTAGCTATTGACTGCAGACAGTGACTTATGCAAACTATGCGCTGATCCCGCTCTGTCATTTTACATGGCCTACTACTTCGTGGCTGAGTTGCTGCTGTTCCCCGTTGCTTCCACTTTGTTATAATGCCACTAACAGTTGGCCATGGAATATTGAGTAGCAAGGAAATTTCACAGATGGACTTATTGCACAGGTGACAACCTGTCATGGCAGTCTGCATGCCTAGATGCTTGACTTTTTACACCTGTGGCAATGGAGGTGATTGGAATACCTGAATACAATGATTGGGAGGGGTATCCCAATACTTTTGGCAATACAGTGTGTGTGCGTGTGTGTATAATAAAAATAAATATATATAGCAGTTGATGTGGGAGCCCGTGGGAGAAGAGCGTAGTGTAGTGGCTCCCCCTGGGGCACAGCAGATGAACATACAGCCCAGGCAGCTTCTCTGCTCCGACCTCCACTGCATCCAGCTTCTGCATGGAGAATTGCCCGGGGCATTGGGCAAAGGGAGTTGGCGGCGGTAAGTGGGCTCGTGGGGGCCCAGCACCAGGACATGATTTCTGGTTGCCTAGGATCAAGACAATGGTCTATTTAGTTGGGGGTTTTTTTTTTTTTTGTTTTTTAACTGTCCCAGATAAGCAGTATGGGTAGAAAGGAAAACCTTGTTCAATCTAGAAATGTATCATCAAATCATTGAAAAGATTTTACATTCTACTTGTGAAAACATTTATCTAGCACTAGATAAATGAACCAATCATGGCTCTGTTGCTTTGGACAGTGCCATCATTTAATCATGGTGAACACACTTACAAAGGAAATGGCAGAGCATGTGGATAGCTTATGTGTGCTGTAGCTGTAACTGATTGGGACAGTTCATTTACAAGGAAAAGCCATAACTTATCCGCCTTGTAGTCTGCAAGGAATTATATAAAAATAGTTGTAGCGTGCTATAAACACAGCATTCGTAATGTGCAAAAAGCATCCACAAAGTTCAAAAATGATAAAAAGATAAATTAGTGTAAATAAAGTCTAATGCAAAAACAAAAAACAAAATAGGTGATACATATCACCACAGAGAAAGTGTCTGCTACCAGCTAATGGAAATCCTCTCCACCACCAGTGAGCAATAGAGCTAAAATGCACTTACCGACATTAAAGCTGCCAGAGGAAAGCAGCAATGTGTTTCTGTCAACAGGATCCTTCACACTTGGTCAACCTGCTCCATTCATGGAAGTTCACACATGGAAGTAGGGGCAAGAAGTCCTCTGAAGACATGCATTTGTACGAAATGTGTTGTGCGTTGGGGCAGGAGCTACACACTGACGTCTCGCCACCACTTCCATGTTTGG